CCGGCGCCCCCCCCCCCCCCCGAACCTGTGTCCACGGCCCCCTTTTCTCTGAGTTCCCAGCGAGCCAAACCAGCCCAGCCTGTGGGCTCCCCTTGCTTCTTCCACACCCAACATGTCAAACTCAAAGGCTAACACAGGCCAAATAAACGAGGCGTGTGCCCCGCGGGCCATGCGAGTTTGACATGCTTGTTCTACACCCTGCCTTGTTTCACTGTCCAAATTGTGTTGGTTTTTTAAAATATATTTTATTGATTTTTTTTTTACAGAGAGGAAGGGAGAGGGATCGAGAGTTAGAAACATCCATGAGAGAGAAACATCGATCAGCTGCCTCCTGCACACCTCCTACTGGGGATGTGCCCGCAACCAAGGTACATGCCCTTGACCGGAATCGAACCTGGGACCCTTCAGTCCGCAGGCCGACACTCTATCCAGTGAGCCAGACCGTTTAGGGCCCTAATTGTGTTTTTGCCGCAGCCAATAAATTCTTGCTTGCTTTGCGGCAAGAAAGAGAAAAAGAAAGAAAAGAAAAATGAGGATTATTTCACATTTTTCTATCTCCTCAGCCCTTAGCAGATAACCTCACTGTCATCAGCATCAATTCCTTCCTTCAGCCCCCTAGCAATGGGACCATGTGCCTCCGAGCCCTCCCTGGCCTGGGAGAATTATTCCTGGCCAGAGGCAGTGACCAGACTCTTGCCCCAGGGGCTGCTCCCAGGAAACCGAGGTGATGTCACCTTCCCCAGGAGTGGGGTGAGGGGGCGGGGGCAGGTGTGACTTCCCTGGGCAGTGACACCAGTGTGGCTCTCACTTCTAGAGGAGGGGGCAGCCTCGTGTGCTGAATGATGGGAGGGCTTTAGAGTGCCTGGGTCTCCAATCCTTACCAGCTGTGTGGCTTTCAGCTCAGTTTCCTGTTCTGTAACAAGGGGGATTGTACCCTGGCTGGTTTGGCTCAGTGGATAGAGTGTCGGCCTGCAGACTGCAGGGGCCCGGGGTCGATTTCG